CAATATCAATATAACATAATAGTCATCTGTGTGTCGTGATACACTTATAATAGTAAGACTGGCCTTAGATGAGTTTGATCTGAGGTGTCAGTGAAGTGACAGTCAGCATGTGACAGTAGTGGGCATGTGACTGCAAGGAGGCTGGCCAGAACTGGATTGAGGCAGTGCAACCTGGCACTAAGTGTATTGCAAGGAGGTTGCATCAGCCATGAGCTGATTGGCCAGCAGGTGTATAAATGTACAGCTTGTACAGTATTTTTTTTCTTCTCAATGTATCAGTTGCAGCAGAGCATATTGACACTCAGAACTGTATATAGGTGGTGGCTGGGTGAGAATAAACTCACAGTGGTTGCACCTAAGTTCCTGACTCCATTCATCATTGGGTACTCTATCTCCCTTGGGCACTAACGTGCCAGCCAGCATTCCGCGCGGACCGCGACACTGTGTAACAGGTTCTGTGGACTGCCATTTTTAAAATCTCTAGCCCCTTTCATTGTAGAGATACGCCTTTCTTCATGTAGCTCTATAATGAAAGGGGCTAGGGTCCTACTTTTAAAAAAGTAAGCTATTCCGCCAGGCTTTTAGTTGAGGCAGCGGATGTCCAACAACTTTTCAGCCCCTCCTGCTCACAGTGCCTATCTAAGCTGATGGATTTTTATAGCATGAGACCCTGGTCTCTGACCTGTATCTTTCAAATCAGAGCAGAGCCAGGATATATGTAATTAAAGCATTGCCACCTTATGGGTTTTTAGTTGCATTTTAATATGATGTCTTAAAGTTCTAATGCTGGATTTTGTATTGATTTTCTGTTGTGACCCGCCCTGAGCCCGTTTGTGGGGGCAGCAGGATAGAAATCCAAACAATAAACAAACAAACAAACAAACTTAGGAATCCATGGCACACTGTTCTGGCTTGCAATTGCCACAGCTGTCCCCTTCTCTGAGCACACACGTTATACATGTTGTTATTACATTATATCAATATAAAAATATTCAATTGACAGTTAAAAAAACAAAAAAACACCA